TCCTGAGACATGGGCAGGGGACAGGGGGCTGCAGCTGCCCCCTCTCAGCTGGGGTGGCTCCCGGGATGTGCCTGGCTTTGGGACATGAGTCATACCGGACAGGTAAGATTTTCTCGTCCCAGCGAAAGGCGAGTACATCCCAGCGAGCCGACACTCCCTCTCTGCCTCTGCCCTTTTCCTGAGGCTTGGAACTACCTAAACTAATAAGGTAAATACTGGGTCAACTGCAATGCCCTAAATATACTCTTCATTGACAAAGAAATCCCTAAACTGTCAGACATATTCCATGCATACAAATAAATAAGACATTTACCTCAATGAAAACAAGCCAGACACTCTCCCACCCTCCACCTCAGGGAAGACTGCAAATAAAATTGCCCTCAACTAGCTTCCAAACACTGTTTTCCAGCAGGGGCAGGTGGCATGGGAATCAGTTTGGAAGATCCTTAATTTCAGAAAGGGAATCTAGTAGCATTTCTCCAGTCTTCATCCAAGGCAAACTATTTCCAAATAGTCTGCATACTTTTCCATATAAGGAATATCTCCCTTGGATCTATATGCGGTTCCTTTGAACAAGCTAAATAAATGTCCTGCTAGGAAGCTGCCTCTCCTATGGCAGCCTGCGCAGAGCAGACATCTGATCCACATTATACACGGATCCCTCTCCCCTGTTCCTTTGAACACTTCTGTTTGTTAAGTTCTTGGGTTCTCTTTCAAAGCTCTATAACTGAGTTGCCATACTGAAGCTAAACCTTTTCTTTCTTTATGCCTTTTAGAAGTAAAATAGATAAAAGCATGTTGTCCTCTATGTGAAGTTGTTTGTAATGTTTCCATTTCTGAAAGTATCATTCTTCCACTGAAATACTTTGCTTGCCTCATTTGTGGCAACTCCTTTTCATTTTGGCTTTGAGGTTGACTTTTAAAGCTGAGCTATAGGGAAAGGAGGGTGACTGCTTGGGAAATGCTGTAGTTTCATCTAATCCTGTAATTCAGACCTGAGATTTACTCAAGGAGAATTGAATTGTCCAATGGCAGCAATAGAGACCAAGACCTTAACTGCAGAGACTCTTATGGTTCCATGCATGCGATCCATTAAATACATGTCAGGAACAGACAGGTGGGAGGGATGAGGGCCTGGGAGAGGCACAAGCTCTTGCCTTATTACCATATAAAGTGCTGAGCTATATATATCTCCCAGCTTGCTCCCAAGATCCCTGTCCTCTGAACAGCAAAACTAGCAAGTATCATCTTCCAGACAACCTTCCGTCACACAAGACTGAACTTTTCTTTGACAAGTGAAGCAGTTCCACTGATTCCAAGGGGAAAAACCCCAAAAAACCAGGAGAGAACCTTTTCTCTCAGAGACTAGTGAGCCAAACCAGTATCTACCAGAAGTTCTAGCACATGCATACTTAGGAACAGCTCTCTTGAAATCAGAACTAGCAGCCCTTGCTCTTCAGGATCTCCCTCTCCTGCACCTACTCACTACTAACTCTCTGCTTCTGTTTCACTATCAAGACAGTATTGTTCCACCCTGAGTTGTTTTACCCGTCACCTGAATAGATAAATCACCATTTCTTTACTTTCACGTCTAGAGTGGCAAGTACACATAAAAAGCACACGTCAAGTGAGCAGAAACCCAACCAGACACCTCTGATAGTGTGCAAACCTCATGCAGAGAGGCAGTGCTGTGTTTCCCACCTCCCTGTGCAGGAGGTGCCTGGACCCTGCCTCCAGCAAAGCTTTGCAGTGCTGCTGAGGAAGAGTCCAGGCTGTCCTGAGCAGAGGGAGCATGTGGTTTCTCTGTTGGGCTTGTGGTGAAAGGGATGGGGGTAACTTACATCTGTGGCCTTTTTGTCAGCCAGTTCCAACTTTTCCTGTGCATCTTTAAGGGACTCGGAGTATTTGTCCAGCTCATCCTCAGTGGCCTTCAGCTTCTTTTGCAGAGCCACCAGCTCGTCCTCCAGCTGTGATGTGGGTGGAAAGTGGTGGAGAGGGGAGGGCGGGCGGGAAAAGGTGCAGCAGGCAGCGTGATCGTGCAAACGGAGAGGTGCGAGTGCAGAAGAGACAGAAAAGGACAGACAGACAGAGAGAGAAAGAAGGAGAGACAGTTAGATCCTCTTTGCTTGCAGCACGGGCACGATACCTTGGCAGCATTCTCCTCTGCGGAGAGGAGGCTGTCCTCAGACTTGTGAAGCTCTTCCAGCACTTGGTCCCTTGTATCCTCTGTCCCACGCAATTGCTTTTCCAATTGCACAATGTCACTCTCTAACTAGGTGCACAAGAGGAAATAGAACGCACAAATATGTTTCTCCCTTGGCTTAGAAAACGAAAACTAATTCATAACATCACTCTTCCTTTCTCCCTCCTCCTTCAGGATCTCCCAGAAAGGTGCAATCAATGCATCCCCCTCCCCGAATTGAGAAGCCCCAGGTGTAAAGGAGGGGGCTTGGAGAAGGACAGTAAAGTGGGGCATGTGTCCGGAGAGGGGCAGGAGGGCAGTTCGAATCGGGCACATCTGCTGAGTGATGCTGGAGTGGCCGAACACAGCTTTCACTGTCCCTTGCCAAAGCGCCGCACATCAGTGCTAGCCAGGCGTTCTGGGCAGCCTCTCTAAGCCATCCCCCTGTGACAAAGGCACAGAGGCCACGCAGCCGTCCCAGGGCCCTGCTCCCCGGCTGGAACGGTGGGGAAGGGGGAAGAACCTCCTGCCGCGCCCCCGGGAACCTCCAGCCTGCCAGGCTGAAGCTCTGCCTTAGGGAAAGTTCAACCAGTTCTGCAGGGGCGCGGGGGTGGAATAGAACAAAGTACGGTGAGGGGGGAAGAAGAGGGGTGGAGGTAAAAAAAAGAGAATAGTCTGGAAAGATTTGCGCCCCGGCGCTCGCTGCGCCCGGGCCCTCGGTGCAGACCTGCTTGCTTCTCTCCTCCGCTGCCTTCTTGTCCGCTTCGGCTTGCTCGGCTCTGTCCAAGGCGTTCTCCTTGTCCAGCTTCAGCATCTGCATCTTCTTCTTGATGGCATCCATGGTGGCGGTGGGCTAGGGCGCGTCCCCGCGCGAACTCCTTCCGAAAGAAAAGCTTGGAAAGTTGCGGGAGAGCCCCGAGTCCGGACGCAGGCCCCGGGGGAGCGGAGCGGAGCTGCCGGGCGGGGTTGGTCCGTGCGGGACGGGGCGCCGGCCGAATGCAAGCGGCGGGCAGCGAGCGCCTCACAGATATGTACTTTCCCAGGGGGCTGACTGCATTCCTCAAGACATCCAATACTTTTTTGGAAAGGGCTTTTTTTTCTTCCCTCCCTCCCTCCTCCTTTCGTCCCTACCCCTTTCCCTCTCTCACTGCCCCCCGGGTTTTTTTGGGAGGCACAGCTTTCCCATTCGCTGCCGCCTGCCATTTGACCGCAGATATGACTATATATGGGATGCGATGGGCGAGGTAAGGCGGGGGAGCAATTTGTTCCCATTTCCAAATAGGCAGGACGGGACATTTCGCTGCTACTCCTGGGAGAAAAAAAAAGGAAAAAAAAGGCAGCTCGTCGGGGAGCGGAGGGTGCTAACGCTGCTCGCAGCGGGCAGCGTGTCTGGGTGACACCGGCCCCGTGCTGGAGCCGTCCCCGCCCGTGGAAATCAATGGGTTCTACAGCAGGAGGGCGGCGGAGCCGATCGCATCAGGCGGCAGGGGAAGGCGGGACAGCGGGGCACGGGGGCTGCAGGACGGGCACTGAGGGGTTAATCGCATGCACGTACGGAATGAAAGCGTTCCGAGACCTTCCCCCGGCAGCCCGAGCAGGAGAGGAGGAGGGGGCACCTCTGCTCCACAGCCAGGCTGCTGCTAGTGCGGGCAGCGCCGGGCACCAATCCCAGACTGTGCGGAGAGAGCCGGGCAGGGCTGGCATTCCGCAGGGACCCACGGCCAGGGCAAGGGGCTGAGTGCGACCCTGACCCCCAGAGCAGGGCCGGGGCACGCAGAGGTGCCAGCGCCTGGCAGAGCTTCCCAAGCGCACCGCTGTCTGTGCAGCACCTGGCCGGGGCTCCTGGTACTCCACCTCGGTACTGCACACGCAAGGAGTGAACAAAAAAGCCAACGGGAGCTCCTGCGACACTCCACGGGAACGCTGCTGGGGCCATGACCGGCCAGGGGTGTCCAGAGCCGCGAGGGAACGAGCCCAGGAAAAGCTGGGGCACGCAATCTAGCTACAGAGGTGACTTGCACCCTTTCGTAATGCCAGCGAGGGACAGCAGCAGATAGACAATTAACAAAATTACATATAATTAAGTGAAGACCTATTTAATTCACTTCTGGCATGTCTCTCACAGTCTCATCAGCAGAGTGAGCAAGACACAACACGTTGTCCTCAGGACGCACGCTGCCTCGTACAGTGTAGAAAGTACAGGGATGTGCATGAGTCCCACAGGATGTGGGTTACACAAAGAGAAAATTAGGCAGCCTTTGTCTGCACTCAATCCTTGTAGCAGAAAATTCCTCCCTGGTGCTGTCACTGCATCAGCTGAGCTGATGTGACTTAGCAGGAGGAGGGAATGTCCTACAACTTCTGGCCCATGGTTCTTACCAGGGCAGATAAGGGCTGGATTTGCAAAGCTGGCCTTGGAGGCCAGCTCCTGGGGAGCTTAAACAGGCTGCACCACAAAGCCTCAGCTCTACAAGATAGCAAAACCCCTGATGAGGGTTCAGACCAACAGTTACAGTCCCCAGGTCCTCAGAAAAGCCATAATCTGAATTAACCTAGGAACTGTACAAAATTCAGAGGCTCACTCACAACTTGGCATGGGGATTCATGTGTACTGCTCCTAGGGAGCAGAAGTCCACTGTCAATACAAAAGCTTTCCTTATGCCTACTTAAAGAAAAGCTGATTTCTCACTGCATTGGTTTAATAACCAAACTACTACAACAATAACAGTAAAAATTATTGAGTAAAACATTGCACTTCCACAGAATGTTTCCAAACACAAAAGTATTTAAAAAGTCTACAGATTTAGTTGCAACCACCTCTAAAGTGTAGTTTTTTTCTCTTTGCACCTACCTTGATTTTACACTATAGTTAATTAGAACAGATTGGGGCCTTTCTGGGGTAAGTATAGTGAATATTTAAAAGATACCTAGTTACATATTATTCAACAACCTGACTGCTTTGTTAAATGTATCAGTATGTTTTAACCCTAGTTTAGGAGAACATATTCCTCTGCCACAGAAGATGCCTTAAAAACAGAGTGTGCCATGGCTGGGAATTCACTGAGGTAGCTGTTCTCACTTTGGGGAAAGAAAATGTCTTGCGAAATTAAACAAACAACTGTCTGGTTAATTTGGGAGTGGTGCTGATAGGCTCCTAAAAGAATGCCTGTGCAGCTCCTGTTGGAGTTTTTCAAAAGAATGTTAGCCATGACATGGGAGCCTCTAGGATATAGGAGAAAGGATGAGATACAGGCAGAAGGAAAGGAATTCGAAGTTTTAAAAAAAATACCTAAAGGATGGTATCGCCTTCACAGAAAAAAAATAATCTTGAGATTCTACTTACATGAAAATATCCAGTTAATAAGCTTTGTTTATAGCAAGATGACCTGTATCCATGGGGCTGAACTGGCTGATGGTGATTTCATTTTTGTTTTCCTCCTAGAGAGAATACGAAAAGTACAGACATGTGTTAACATGCTTGCTATACCTTTCATTAACAATTTCAATTACTTGGAAACTTCTGTTCCAGCTGGCCAAGAAAGATAGGTTTAGAAATGAAATAGCTTGTATAGTCTCTCCCTCTTTAATTGATATGTGAAGACAGATTGTAAGCAAATTATTTTTACTTATTGAAAAAAGAAGGCAGCACAACTTTGTTTTTATGACATAGTACCAATTCTCTAATGTTACTTGTCACCTCTTGTTTTTCACCACAATGGCTCATCTCATCATCTCATCTCATCTCATCTCATCTCATCTCATCTCATCTCATCTCATCTCATCTCATCTCATCTCATCTCATCTCATCTCAATCCCCTCTCATTGATAAATGATGCAGGAACTCCCTAGCAGTAGTTTCACTTTCTTCTGGGGAGTACCTACTGAACTTATTTTGAATTCTGTTAATCTAATTGGGCTCTTTAGAAAATCAAGACAGCAAACTCAAAACACCAAGAAAGGATAGCTAGTTTTGAAATTCACAACTCCTTCTGTGAGCAGGTGATGCCACAGTTCAGGCTCACTGACAATACAGTAAGGAGCAAGGCTGAGACTTGCTTATAAAATGATGTTTCTGTCATGTCACCTATCCCTTGTCATGGGCAGAAATTTGCCTTGAGGAGGATTTGCTCTTTGGGCATTGATTGTGTTGACCATAGGGGTTTGATTCTGAGAACAGACAAAAGGGTAGGTGGACATAATCACTTGGAAAAACTTCAAACACGCCTTTGCAGTTGCTTTACCTACTTCTTATTCTTCTCCTGTTTTGGGTTGTGGGTTGGGGCTTTTTTGTGTGTGTGTGGGTTTTTTTTAAGGAATATACAGGAAATGACACCTAACAACTGGTTCTGCCAGTTCTATAAAACATGCCTCCTAAAAGACTATTAAGGATTCAAGTTAGGTCAGTCACAGTGAACTCACAGGCCTGTATGTCATTTGAAAAGTGGAGTGTTCCCTCACATGGAGGCAAATGTAAATGAAATATAAACCAATTTCTCAAAGGCCTCTGAGACCTCTGCTGCCCTTGTAAAACAGGAATGTTCCTTTTGGACAAAGGAAGCCAACAACATGAGTGTAGGATATTATCAAAAATAGGAAATTGAAAACATCTGCATTCACCTAGAAAAACAAATAAAATAATACTGATGAAATCAGGAAGGTTTTACTAGTACAGTCAGCGTATTTTATCCTGTAAGGACCTCCAAGAGCTTTGCACTACAGAAACTGAGGGACAATATTTCTGAAAGAAGCATGAAAAGAGCAAATTTCCCCTGGGGAAACTGGTCATCTCTGCTTCAGCCATCAGGGAAGAGAAGGCCCTAAAGCAGAAGGCAGGAATCCCAATGGCCAGTTCTCTGCACAGCTCAGAAGGCAGCAAACAAGTCCAGAAATACCCCAGAACATGCCAGTCATGCTTAGCACATGCTGTAACCCTGAACAGGTTTTCTGTAACATTTCCTAGGGAATGGTGGAGAGCAGTTTAGCTTTTGTAATTAAGAACTATGGAATGATTTATTGGAAAACTAAGCTTCAAATTATTTTAATAATTTTCCTCTTCAGAACTAATGTTTGTTTGGTTTGTCATTCAAGAAAGCAGTGAACTCCTTAAGTAAAGCAGTATTTATAGCACAGTCTTCTGCACCTGCCCTGATCTGTAATCCGAGGGTCTACTCAGATACCACACCAAATGCTAAGAAGCACATGACCTAACTCATGACCTAACATCTTAAAATAGCTCTGAGAAGGTCTTTTTTATTTTTTCCCTAAGACTCCTTTCACTCTAATTGCACTACTGTTATTCGCTGGATTTCAGCTGAGCAAACATGTCTCCCAAATTTTTGTATTGTGCTTTCTTTCAAAATCAGATTTGCTTTAGCTGGTAGTTAGGAGTTACTAATGTCATTCTCTGGAAAAAACCTACAAAAAACAAGTAACAAAAAGACAAAACCCAAAGTCCACTCTTGGTAAGATGCCTTCCTAGATCTTTCTCTTTATAGCTTCAGAACATTTCAGACCAAAAAAAAGGTTAATAGATAATTTTAAAACTGTTTTTTTGTATTTATATATTGTTAGATTTATGTCCCACTCAGTGAAGTCTTGAGTCACTTAAATCTGATTGAAGTAATCTTATATTTTAAAAAAGTGTTTAAAAAATAGTCTTGAAAAAGAATATCCAGTCCATTTTGATTTAGAGTATGGTATTGAGCAATAGAAAAGAAGAACAGTGAAGAGGCCAAGTAAAGAAAAAGACAATTAATATGCAATGAGGGGGGAAAAAAAAGAAATACTACAATCAACTGTACCCAAACACCAAACTGAAAAGAATTGTGAATCAACAAATCCAAAAAGAAGCAACTCTTATGGTGAGAGTCCACTCATGACCTTACAATGGTGCAGAAATTGCATTAAATATTGTGATCTCTGATTTACACTTATTACATTTATCCCAAATGATTACATTTATCCCAAACAATTACATTTATCCCAAATGATAACAGACCAAGTTCTACTGAATGCAATTGAGAAAAAGTTGTGGACAACAAGAAGGCCAAT